ATATAGAAAAGAAATAACATATGATGAATTTAAAGAATTATGGGCTGAAATTAAGCTACCAAGGTAACACCGGACACGTCGATCAATTTAGGTCCTCTGGTGCACTCAAGACAATTATTCAAAAAATATCTCAGAGAAGAATCTTATCAATAATAAAGTTATGTATTTCTAAAAATGCCTATTTTTTGTAAAGAAAATTTTCAGCCAAAATTAAAAAAAGTTAGATTGTCGACAAAAAATTATGCTAAATGCACAGAGTAACACATTGCATTAATCATTTATTGGTCATAATAAACAGATTTGTGTTAATATCATCTATTTAGTACAGCACAAATTTCCCTTTGAATCACATGTAATAAAATTTAGAAATTGTGATTGGATTCACTATTGATTTGGTATCATTATTTTACATTGGAAAAATAATGCTAGCATTTTAATGGATTGTACGTACAGAAGGCAAGCTTAAAAATAGACGTTTGTTTTGGTTTGTTTTGTTCACAAGATTGTGCTCTAATGGCATGGTCCCACGACCAAATTACGTACAGGAAATTATTATTTAAGCAATACTACTTTTTTAATGTTGACTTTTTCTTCTGGTAATCAATGGATGGCAGAGCATTATTTATAAGAGTAACTCACGGTCTGATAATTCTCGCTATTTTAGCGGTCTTTAGTAATAATTTATATTCTCTAGTTCAAAGGGTGAACAAAATAACACAGTCGTTTTCAGTTGAAACAAAGACAAAATTGGTTCCTCCAGCATTGACATTTTGCATTACAAGACAAGTGGCATATAGATTTACTTTAGAACTTTATGGAATAGTAGTTGCTAACGGAACCACACCTGCTAATTATCTTAGCACTTACAGCAATGAAACTGTGGAATTAAAAGGTTTGACTAATGCAGTTTATAAATGTTGGGTATGTCAATAAGTATAATTGCAATAAAATATAAAGGTTGTCCTATTAATTATTACAATTTCGTGGATAACAGATCATAAAAACACCAGATAACTCTCCAGTTATTATAAATCCATCCCCAAATCCCCTGGCGGATGACATGCGATTTAATTATACCCGCGTATTCGACACTCCCGGACGATTTCAACCTGCTGATCCAATTGTCCTAAATGTTTTCGACCCATTAAGACAAACAACTAATTTTGAAATCAGCAAGTTTTTATTACTTGATGCCGATGTTAATCGTGCGATTAGTTTTTCACGAGTTGAGTCACGCAGTCTAAATCGAACTGTCACCACCGACATCAAATATAATATTATAGATGTGTTTAGAGACAATCTTACAATGACTACGCCTAATGATGCTACTAGCTCTGTTAGAATTAGACCAGGTTTGTCACTTTTATTAACATTTTCTTCTTGCATTAGTGCACTCTAATAATGTGGTTTTATTTTGAA